CAAATACATGTATTAGCCTGTGTATCACTTAACCAATACTGTTGTTACTCTGAGATATATGAGCTTTGCTCTTATTGGCTGTTAAGTTCTGAATTCTAACAAGTATGCTCATTGGCTGCAGTAAACTTACAGCTTTTCTTTCTGTTGGTTGTATTTTCCCAAATCTGGTTTCATTTGCTTGACKAYTCTGTTYTATTGCCTCTGTTGTGCTTGAGCATAATCTGAAAAACCCTGGTCWGGGTTTCGTTTCTTACGCTTTCTCTCTAGCCTGTCAGCTTCATCAGCTGTCATTTCTAACATTTTGATTCTGTCATAGTCCTCTCCTTTCTCCTCGGCAGCCTATACATCAATATACAAAACATTTAGAAATAATATTGTTTGAATAGTGTCACAGGGTTCGCGATACTCCTTGAAATCCTTGAAAACTCCTGGAATTAAAAACTCGTTTTCAAGGGCGGCGCTTGAAAAGCCCTTGAAAATGGGAAAAATCGCTAAAACTCCTTGAATATGATGAAATTAACACATTTGCCTTTTGCCATTTGGATCAATGTGGCTATTTTTGAAAATCACCACTGGAAACATTCGCAAACATCAAAAAATATCTTCAAAAATAGTCCTTGAAAATCGCATTTTGTGCTTAAAAGGTACTTGAAAAATCCTGGAATTTTGTAGTGAAAATTTTGCACAAACCCTGGTGTGATCTAATGTAATTACAAAGGGCTGCAAAAGTTACTGTTACTGCTGTGTGGACTGTCTGATTTCTAAAAGCATTGCGTGGTTAATGATTTTGTGACTTTAGATGTATTACATGAAGGTATTTGAGTTTGCAGTAAGGGTGAATGTCAAAGAATGCAATATAACCTTMCGYGCCTCTTCTTCCTGGTTRTCCCAATCTATTCTTCTCTGTCTCGCTTCAAAGTTTGGAGGCAGCTTGTTTCTTCTGTCTTCTTCAGCAACTTCTTGGTGGTTCATCTTACGTGCTTCGTTCTTTGTAAACATAAAAGATTTGTTCACTGGTTTATCATAGTGTTATAACATACTAAGTTATTTAGAATACTGTGTAAGCTTAAATACAGTAAGTAAAAAATTTGTATTAAGCTTAAGAGAATTCACGCGCTAAATTTCATTGATTAAATCTCGATGTTTTTTGCTTATCAAATGAAAACACTTACTACCTACCCTCCTCAAATGTAACTCTTTCAATCTCTTCATTCTTTCTGCCCTCTTGTCCAAACCGGAGMACGAACTKGACGATGACGCAGTTGAAGAACTTGGAACTTCATCATCGTTTCTCTCTTTTCTCTCCGTCTCCGCTGAAACCTAGTAATCGAGGMYAAAYTCAGTTTCGATAYTATTTCTTCAGATAARATAACTCYATYCATTCAYTATT